TATAAAATTATATAGGTATTATAATCGTTTACGCGCAACATTGGGATAAAAAAAAAAAAAAAAAAAAAAAAAGAAATAATAATAAACTTTTTAATTGCAGTGATAATATATTACAATAATATATTGCGCCTATGTTACACTAGTGTAACATATAGTGTATAATATTAAATTATATTAATATAAATTTATAATGGCTTTCATTTAATTACTACGCGCGCCGTCTTATATACATAAAAATGTAATTTTTGAAAAAAAAAAATAAAAAAAAAAAAAAAAAAAAACGAAACGAAACGATCACGATTTATAATAATATATTCAGCGTCGCGTATATAATATTATTATACTTATATATAATGAATAAATATAATGAATGATTGTCACGGTATAATAATGCGGTACCTATACGTATAGGTGTAAAATGTATACGTTATATTGGGTACAGGAATACCTACCTGTAATACGGTCTCTTATTTTTATTATTATTATTATTTTTTCTTACCTATATACCCGCTATATTATTAAAAATCGTTTATTTAATGTGCGGCCGCAGATGGCATTGAAGATCGGATTATAATATTATTAAGAATGAAGATTTCCGTGTAATAGAGTGCGATGCCTCTGCTGCAACGGCAGCAGCGGCAGCAGTATCTTTATCAACCTACGAATCCAGTTGTAAAATGATGCGCGTGGAATCAAGTGCAGCAATATACATATATATATATATGTGTGTGCGTGTGTGTTTATATGCGTATTTTTTTTTTTTTTTTTAAACGAGTTATTTATTTTGATTTTTTTTTTTCCCCAGACGCATCGTAAAATGATTTTACCTATATTGTATAATGTACATAGACGTTTATATATATAGTGTACAATGTACACCTATAATATAATATAATATACACCTAATATTAATATGGTTTACGCGTTCGGCGCTATCGAACGGGCATCATCGTGCCCGCGACAATGTCTGCGTAAGTAATAATAATAATGTTATTATATTGAACCGGGTTGTATATTGTAGTTGTGTACGATTAACATTTTGAATTTTCGTCGATAAAATCGCTTGTGTTTCCCGGACATAATAAATCTGCAGCAGTGTTGCCACAGCCTCACAGAGCAAGTCTGAATTTCGGGGTATAGTTTAAATCAAAACATTTTGAATAAGAGTTAAAAAAAAATTATTAGGTCTAATTTAACTAATTAAGTCTAATTAGGTGGGGGGGGGGGGCAGTAGGAGTTGTATTTTGTATTTATTTTTCACATACAATTTTATTTCCCGCATATTGTACACCAATGTATATTATGTTATTAATAATTCTCTATAAATAATCTAAATTTTTCATTAATTTTGAAATGAGCACCTTATACGGGATCCGGGGGATATATTTAAATTCTTAAAATTAAATTTTACTTATAAGTTCATAAATTATAAATTAATTAATATAATAAAATAAATTTGCGTTAGTCGTCTTAATTATTTTCAAATAGATTATTCGAAAACAGACTAAATAAGTGAATATTTATAAATATTTATATTTATATAATGAGCCCATCGTCTTGCTAAACTTATTGTATAATATAATTATATCTAATATTTTATTTTCATATAATCAAGCGTCTAATTTGTTTCACTTGTATTATACTTCAAATGAAAATGTTCTGGATTGTACGGATTGTGGATTTAGTTGTTTATTTCCTAGTAAGAAATGAAATCGGTTAAAGTGGAATATTTTTTTTTGAAAATCATTGCAACAGAACGTTAAATTAAAATTAATAGAAGTCATTTATTATTATTTTTTAAATTACCTTTTTTGTAGTATTACAATAGTTTGGAAGGTTAATGATATTATTTTAAGTTCTAAAAATAACAAATACAAACATTAAAAAAGAAAAAGAGAATCCACTGTATAAACTGTACGAATAACATAAAAATAACATTATTTATATACTTACCCTCTACATTTTATGTTTATTGTCTGTATAAAAGTAAAAAAAATAAAATAATAATTTTTTTACATGTACAATGTAGACAGTAAAAAAGTTGTCCTAGGATAATGGGGACGGGTGTAGCCACTTTTGTAGGTGGGAAGTTGGGAAGGTAGGGTACAGAAGAGGATTTAATGTGTATCTGTAAGCAATGATAAAATATTGCTAACGAAAAAATGGTTCTGAGCGGAGTTCAGTTGATAGTGATGCTTTGTAAACAATACATATAAGTTATATTATGGTAAAATAGTTAAACAGGCATTTTATATTTTCTTTAATAATATTTGTTAAATATTGATCCGATTTGCTGGGAAAACTCCTGAGAAAATCGAAAAATATAAACATCTTTATAAAACCATAAGCGTCTTCGCAGTTCTTTCCATTTAGAATCTAAAATTCCTTAACGTATAGAATAGTGCACTATAAATCATTTTATCAACATTGCTAAGAACTTATCGTAGTTTTATCGATTTGATAAGAAAATCAAGTTTCCCATATTATGAAATATTGATTAATTAATTAATTAGACAATAAATGGTGTATATTTGATATCAAAAAATATATTTATCGCATTTTTAAATGGCTTTGGCCAGCTTATATTTAGACCTCTATGCGGCGGTGACCGGTTCGGCTAGTTAGCAAACTACAAGTATAATATATATAACAAAAGGACGAATAAAAGCTGCAAGGTCCATTTTAAATCCAAAAAGAGTATCAGATACTACTGAGTACTGATGTGCCTCCACTATTGTAGGTGTAAATTTGGGAAGGTAGGATACATAGATATAATTTATATCTGTTTGCAAAGATAAATCATTGCAAACAAAAAACGATCCTGAGTGAAGCTCAATTAAACATTTTCGATAACTTTAAATGATTTAAAATCATATTGTAACTGAAATATAGGTCTCGAATTATTAAATATTTTGACTGGGCCAAAACTACTATTGAAAATGAAAAATAATATTATAGCAATAAATGACTTAAAAGACGCCACAATACTACTACGTCTAGAATATGAGAATAAAAGTAGTAGATGAAGGTTGCAGATCTTGACGATTGTTTTTAACCGAATAACTAAAAAATCAAACAAATTGGTAGGCTACACTATAGAAAATAGTAGAAAATTGAGATGGTAGGGTAATTTAATTAATATCTGTACATGAAGGATACATTTTTGATAACTGAAAACGGTTCTGAGCGGTGTTCGATGAATTTTTTTTTGGTAAACTTATAAATTGAAAATCGTAGTAATTCTAACTACAAAATAAATTACGATAGTGAGCATTTTCATAAATCAAAAGAGTTTAATCCACATTACGTATAAATTCGTACGCTAAATTCTATGGTTCGAATTTGAACTTTACAGGTTTAAACTCATGAAACAACTTATGATAAACGTAAAATAATGAAATTGTTGATGTTAGAAATGTACCAGTTTTTCTTTTAAATTTTTTTTTCCAGTTATGATGAAAACTATTTAAAAAATTATAATATTTTATATTATTTTAATAATCACATCATATAACTGAGACAATTTTTACCACATACAAACAAATTGTACATAATAAACGTTTAATTTGATTTATAATTTATTATTTATTATATTTATTTTTGTACCTATTAGTACAAAATCTAATCATAGACAAATTTTAAATAATATAAAAATGCAAATTCTTCTTTTCCTTCGCTTTCATCCCGACTATTTGAGGATGGTCATCCTCGTCCTGATTTAAGTGTTACTCTCCATTCCTCAAGCATATTGCTAACTTTTTCCAAATTTTCTCCCATCAAAACTATATTATCTGCAAACGTCATGGTTCCTCCTTTCACTTCTTGTTCCCGCATACATCCAAGATAGGGAAAATCATCCAATTCTCCCTTAAAACTCCTCATACTGTTTAACAACATTTTACACCAATTATCTACCCAACGCAACCACATGTGTGATTGACAAAAAAAAAAAAAACACAAGTGTATTAAGATTATTATTATTATTAAATTTTATTAACAATTAATCTTAATTGGAATTTGTTTTTATTAAATAAATATGCCTACTATTATCGTCATAGTTTGTTTTATAATGAAGTTCATATACAAGAAAGATATACAATATAGATTCTTATATCACAAAAAAATAATAATAATAAATACACATTAAATAACCTATTTATGTATTTATATATTATACTGTAACTATACACACTTTTAAGAATGACAGCTTAAATATCTTTAATGCACTTTATCGTTTAAATGATATTGGTTGCATCGTTTATTAAAACAATTTGCGTGATATTAATACTGCCGTTCAAAAACCATATTCGAGTAAAAATCAATTTGTTTAGTGAAATGCGTTAATTTATGGTTTTCAAAGTAATATTATATTAATTTTATTTTGAATCTGTTTTTAATAAACTTACTATGTTTTTTTGGACTTTTTGTTCGTCAAATTTTATTTTATTTTTAATTATTTATTTAACACTATTAAATTAACATAATACAGAATGGTACAATTTTAAAAATTAAAATATGCAAATCTTTTTTTAGCGACAGCTTGTTTGGAGACGCTGATTTGCCGAAAAAAAGACGGACAATAGTATATTTATATATATATATATATATTACAGATTAAAAATGTTTACTTAAACTAATGTTTAAAAAAAAGAAATAAAAAGAGATACAAATATTATAGGTAGTTAAGTTGTTCATTATAGTAAGCAGAAAAAGAAAAAAGGTAGTTCCACTTAACGGAGTTACCAAATATATTTTTGTATAATAGGTAATTTAGTCGTCATTCTGTTTTGATATGAACTTTATTGCGAAGCATAGGTTATATGTTTTGTTTTTAACTTGTAGTCTGAATACTCAAATTTTTAAATTTAAAAATATACATCTATGAAGAACTAAAGTAATAACGAAGAATTATAATTTATAGGTTTATTTCATCCATTCGTGAATAATTCAGTTAAAAATATTCGTAACGATTTGAAATTTGGACAGAAAATTTATATTTGTATTTCTAAATGAGTTAAAATTTTCAAAACATTTGAGCCATCTTTAGGCTTTTTATAAGGATTTTAATATTTTTGTTTAAATTTAGTTAAACATATTCGTATCGAATTGATGGACTTAAAATTTGGACAAAAATCCTATATTTGCTTTTTCAAGACATGATACAATTTTCAAAAAATTTAAGCCATTTTTGAGTTATTTATAGACATTTTAATTTTGAGAGTTTTGTACGTAATATTTATTCAGTAGGTACTCTGTGGTAAACTTGTTAGACTCAAACAGAAATGCTTAAAAATTTAATAGGAGGTTCATTAAGAATATACATATCGTTTTATCGTTGCTTATAGATATAAAAGAAATAATCTTATGAATCCTACCTTCCCAACTTCAACAGTGCAACAGTGGCCGCTCCCATCCCCAGTATCAGCTGTTTTTTTTCAATTGATTTGTATACATGAAATTCTGATTTTTCTAATTTTTAAGTGTATAGTTAAAGCCGATATTTTTGAATACTTAAATTTTTCACGTCATATTTAAGGAGTATATCATGCAACAGTGGTGATGCCGACTTTGGTTTTTCAAATGCGAACCTATGTAAACATTTTCATAGATACAATCACCCTACAGATAGATCGACAGATCTATAATATAATAAATATTTATATATATATATATATATAAATATATATATATATACCGCCCTCATAAGTAAAAACGCCTTAAGTCATTTGACAACGTTTTTGAGAAAAAAGGGTTTTTATATTTTAGATTTTCTAAAATTAATAATATTTCTTACATTTTACTTATCAAAGTATGATATGGATTTTCATATGGTATTTTACCTGATAAATGCAATGGAATAAAAATAAATAAATTCTGAAGTACTTACTCAACTTTTTACATTGATCCTTAGTATAATCTGTACATTAGAGAACTGTACTGATTAGAATCGAGAATAGAATCTATGAGTAATCGTATAAATAACTTAACAAACAACTGATATTGGATCGTTTGTAAAATGTCTACATTATTATATTAAGTTTTATTATATTTTAATGATTTATTAGTTACAATATTACGATAACCAAAACGACAATCTGTACTAAGTATAAACGCCGCAAATTGTTCTTTTTATTGTTTACCTACTAAGTAAAAATGCCGTATCTTCATTAATGTGCACGGCGTTTTTACCTAGTAAGAATTCATTTTTCGACCATTTACGGCGTTTTGTTAAAATCAATATTGATTGCTAATAATCGTTTTGTAGAATAATATTTTAGACACACGGCATTTTTAAATTTGTTTGGACTTGCTGCGTTTTTGCTTAGGAAAGGCAGTGTGCATAGATTATAAACGAATATCCCCGCGCGAAAAGCCGTAAAACTAATGACAGAAAAAAAAAAAAAAAAGGAAATAAAGCCGCTACACAACACAATATACCGTATCGCATAATAATAATCATTTTAATTGTCGATTATTATTGCCGCACGGCCGCGGCTGCGTCGATCGATAATAATAAATCGCAGACGAGGTCGCGTTCGTGCCGCGTTCTTTGTACATACAATAATAATAAAATAATATCACCCCGTCGTCGTCGTCCGCCATCATTCTCTTCTCGCAATAATGATAATATTGTTATTATTATTATTATTATTATTATTATATCGTATAGGCAGGTACGATAGTCTCAGGACCCGATCTCGTTTCTCCCACCGCGCGGCGGCGTGACTGGGCGGCGGCGATTCCGATGTCGGTCCCGTCAAATCGTGGCCGTCGGGCGGCGGGCGGCGGGCGGCGGCGGCAGCGATTATCGCGAACGGCCGTTCGCCCCCTTCGGGAAAGCCGTGCGCGACACGGCCGACGGCGGCGGCGGCGGCAGCGGCGTTGCGGACGGGGAGACGGCGCGCGCGGTTTCGGGGGTCGTGACGACCTAATTATTTCCTTTAATTAAAACGCTCTTGTCGTAATAATAATAATAATAATAATAATAATAATGCTATCGTTGTTGTTGTTATTATTATTATTATACCGCGTAAGCGCACACTATAACGCTACGATATTACACCGGCGCACACGACGCACGACCGCGGACGCATATAAATAATCGTAAGTCGCGCGCGGTGTCTCTCCGGCAGTGCGCCGCGGCTCCGTAGATCCGTACCGCGAGGAGCGGGCGCACCGGACCCGTTCGGTACGGTCGCATTCCGAACGTGACGGATCGGTCGAGAATATTACTCTGACCGCACATTAGAAAACCGATCGATCCGTTCCGCCGTGGCGCGCCGATGGCGGCACGCGGTTCGGCGTCCGTTTTCGGTGAATTTCGTAGCTGTTACAACAGATACACAAATTATTATTATTATTATTATTATTATTATTATTATTATACAGCCGCGGGATTGTGGATTTCGGTGGGCGACACGTACGTTTTCACGACCTAGTGAAACACGGTCTGATGATTACGTGTAAATCTAATAGGCATTAACGAACATACGGTCAACGGAACTAACTTCGAGTTTTTCATGCGTCGTTGAAAATGTCCGGGTGACAACAATTATGTCAAAGCGTTCCCCCGGATTTCGAAGACTGTAACTTATAAAGGAACCGTAAGTTTCACCTTAAACAAGAAGGAGAACGGAATTACCGTCCTCTCGCCGCTTAAACCGTTGGTTATAGTGTAAAATGTTTAACCCTTATACGTGGCATGATGTTCTCGGTAATTTATTTACAACACTAATGTTCGGCACTTGAAGGTGGTTTATTTAACTGCAGGTCCGATGTGTTATATTCCGGATTTCTGTCAATGATTTGTACTGTTCATTCTATACTTACGCAATATCATCCATACGTTTACGAACTGAATGCTCTTTAAAATATTATCACAATATATTGTTTAATGATTTTTGGTTGAAGAATTGACGGCAGAACAAAAATATTCGATTCTCGTGCAGTTCGCGTGATTTGCAAACCATGTTAATAAGCGCATTAGATAGATACTTTTGTCAAGAAAACGTAACCACAACTTGCCGATTATTGTCGTTAGTCATTACGATGACGGGTCGTGCCGACCCCGCGCATATCCTACTTTTCCCTCCGGTCATGACCGTATGCATACATTCTATACTTGTAGCACATTACAGCCGCTACAGGTACACTTTTTATCTGATTTGAGGGCGGGGGTATTCATTACACACGGACTTTTCCCCGTAAATACGCCATCGACGTTTAGTAAAATATTACGAGTATATCGATTAGGTACAGTGACGAAACGGACACGGTGTTTGAAAAGCGATTGCTTCTCGATTATTTTTTTTTTTAAAGATTTAGGGGTGAGCTGGTGTTCAGTATGAAATTAACCAAGTATTAGTACTACTCAGTACTCGTTTATAGCTCATATAGTAAAAATATTAGGGCATATTTGGGAACATTGGGAAATATCGGTGGGCTGGTACTGGATAGAGTAATCTCGTGTATAGCGAATCGGACCGAAAATAACTCGGAAGCAACCTATTAATGTGGTACACGCGCAATGTGATTTAACCGGTGCAACTCAACGGTTCGCATCCATTGTTTGTTGATTCCAAAACGGCTCCCGTCGAAAAACGTTTCACGAATACGTAAATCATCGACCGGCTCCGGTATTTGACAATAAAAAGGGAGTTACGAATTTTTAATAGATGGTCGCCAATAGTATAATACTAAATAAAAAATGTATATGGGTACTATGTAAATACTTCTCATACAATTATTATGTACTGTCGGTATATTGTGTGATGCTGCACAATTCGACGCAGACACCGGTCATGTCATGCCTTAATTTTATCTTACAAAAAACATGACCATAGGTAAACATGAAGGGATGTAGATTCCGTTTGGATCACATTTAGTGTGGGTAGAGG